CAATTTCTACATTTTTCCAGCGATCCGCAGTGCCTGGTAGAGGCTAGGAGTGCAGTACTGAAGAAAAAGTCTTATGTGTGATGATTTCACAGTGAAGAGGTCAAGCTGAAAATTACAAATGTTTGCAGGTTTACAGCACTTAGATTTTTGATGACAAGATTTAATGAAGCCCACCTTTTTGCAGAAGACCATCTGGTGGTCGAAGAGGAACAGTGTCCTGTCCTGAACCTTCCCCCTGGCTGCTGTGATGACCCGTACATCCCCGTTATAAATCAGCTGGGAGCTCTTATCCAGTACATCTTCCCCCTGATATAACACAAGACAAGGCATTTAGTCACATTTCAGGACAAGAAATTCATTTTTGGGAATACATGTAGGTGCAACTGGTGCAACTAATTTTTTTTTTGGGGGGGGGGGGTGCACCATATAAAACAAAAGCTATTCACAGATCTTACTGATCCTCTTCTAAGCTTCAGTCTGAAATGGGAGCTAACTTCAAAATCTTAAAATCTCAAAAGTACCACAAGAAAGATTTATCATTTTTCTGACATTTAGATGCCAAGAATATCCTGTATAGTACTATTATGCATTATTGTGCAAAAATACCTACAAAAATACAAAAAAAAGGGTGCACAGCTCCAATTTTGGGTTCACTAAGGTGCACATGCACCCAGTACTTTGAGCCCTGCATTTGATAAGATGTATGAACATTTGCTACTACTTCATATGTTGATGAAGGCTACCTGGTATAACATTACAAAGAGACTAAAATAAAATAAGCCGCTGGACAAATTCTCTGAAACTTAAGCTAGTTGCTTGGCAGAGACCCGGTTGCTTGATCTAATTTTGTTACAGTTCCAATTGCTACTCCTTGGTAAAAGTTAATAGAAAAAGATCTAAATGTCTGAGGTACACTGACAATATCTACACCTTTTAAGATGGAACTGATAAGGAATAATGTAAGGACGACAGGAAGAATTTAGTGACAAACAAGTACATCTGAGAAAAAGAGAAAAAAAGTTTAAAGAAAATATCTGAAGATCAAAGGAAGAAAGATGAAGTGACAAATTGGTTCAGCTTACCTCCCAGCCTTCAACATCCTGTTGCCAGGCGGCAATCTTATCGATGTTCTCCAACCGTCGCTTCCTCTCGTTAATTAGGTTAGCGACGTCTTTCATGGCCTCCAGGGCCGCCTTCACATCTTCATGATCCCTTAAAAAAGAACGCAAGAGGTTTGCTTGTGACGTCTACTTGCCTGAGGATCAAATTTTTCATCCGTAGTTACCGGTAAGATGAAAAATTGACTTGTTTGTTGCCTGCCTTTAGATCTTCAGGGTTGCAGGCATAATTATGGCTTCACCACACCACGAAGTGTTGTGGTGAAACATATTGTTTTCCCTCATGTTATTTCTCCTACTTTTCCTCCCCCTTCTCCATTTTGTTAGACGGATTCGATTTCTTCACTTTTGAGCCAAATAACACGAAATTTGGCATACGTACAATGTAGAGTGGCCAAATACCGCCAGACATGTATACATGTACATGTATATGAGCAAGAGCTGAATGTTGACAATCTCCCTCCAGATATTTTGACAAGAGGGAAGCTTAAATCTTCCCACAGAAGAGAGTGAAGTGCAGTGTCCTCACCTGTGTTCAGGCTTGGTGTACTTGAGTAGTTCGGCCAGCTGAAGGGGGTATTTACAGATCTTCTGCACAGGAGTCAGGAGGAAGCCGTCCAAGGCAAGGTCAATCATGTTCTGAAGTAGTCTGCAAGCCTGATGACAACAAACACTTTGTTAGGACTTGTTAAAGATATACATGACTTGTACATGTACAGCAGTCAATAATTAACCAGATATGTAATGAATTTGGTAAGGCCGTAAGTCCTAAGAAAAAAAAATTCCTGTTTCAGTTCTAAGAAAATAAGGGTCGGTACATGTGCACATGTAGGTAGGGACTATCTTTTTTTTCTTTGAGACTTTGGCAATCTCTAGTGATCCAACGTACATGTACATGTACAGTACAACATAATATACAGTTTGAAAAGTAAAACTTGCATGAGGACACTTAATATTTTCAATGTCAATTAAATATTGGAAAACCAATTTCATCATCACCGTTTCATCACTCAGGTGTCAGATCATGGAGCTAGGGTTGGTTGGGAAACAGGAAACACAACATTTTTCCCCCTAAGCCTACGGGTAGTTACATGTAACATCAATGTAGAAGACACGTGGCCACTATAGACAAGCGGTACTTATGCAAAATCGGACAAGGCAATTTAGTACATCATGGATATTCTTTGGAGATGCTGACCTCGAAGAAATGTCTGTACTTCTTGCTCTTGGTGATTTGGTTCAGCTCAGTGACAGCGTGGGGATGGTTGTTACAGTACTCTGAGTAGATCTCAAATCCTTCTCTCTGGAAAAGGATGAAAATTGTCAGCAATCAAAGCATTTAAAGCAGGATGTAACAAGTGGTTATAAGAATAGTACCATTTCTTCTATGCTCTCTAAACAAATGCAAACCAATTTACTTGTTATATTTTCTTAACAAAATATTTATGGGTTCACCACACCACGAAGTGGTGGTGAACCCATATTGCTTTTTCTGATGTTTCTTCTTCTTCTTCTTCTCCTGCCATTTTTTAAATGGATTCAGCTTCTTCATTTTAGGGCCTAAGGTCCTGAAATTTGGTATGGAGGTACAGTGGGCAAATACCCCTAGGCGTTTTTTAAATTTTTGTGATACAGGCTTTTAAAATGGTTTTATTTGAGATTTTTGGCTGTGTTATAGCAAATGTATTACTGTGTTAGTGTGCCGTGTTTACCACGTCTGGGCATGAGTCATCACAATGGAATGCAGGGCATCAACCAATAGGCATGCAGCTTTCCTCTATACTTCTTGCTGATTGGCTGTTGGGATTTAACTTGATTAACACCTGCACAGTCTTGTAGTGTTCCACGCCATCTTCGGGATATAGTGATGTGGTCTATCTGGTTCTCTACAGAAGCGTCAGGTGATCGCCAGGTTACCTTGTGGCTGTCCTTGTGGGGGAACAGGGTTCCTCCTATCACCAAGTCGTTTATGGAGCAGAAGTCAGCGAAGAGCTTCTCCGTTTTCGTTCATGGTCCCAACACCATTGCTTTTCCCATTTACTCGTTCCTTCCCGCTGTTTCCTTGTCCCACTTTTGGCGTTCATGTCACCCATGAGTATCGTGATATCTCTCTTTTTCCGTTTGGCCATGGTGGCTTGTAGCTGCTGGTAGAACTGTTCTTTGTCTGCATCGCTTGCATCGTTTGTGGGGGCGTATGCTTGTATGATGGTTGTATCTTGGCAGCGGGATGTGAACCTGGCCACGATAATCCTCTCTGAGACGGGCTCCCACTCCTTTAAACTACGTGTGCTTGACTTTGACATGATGATTCCCACTCCCCTCACGTGTGTTGGGTGCTCTTCAGGGAAGCCAGAATATATGATGGTTTCTCCACTTTGCAGGGAAGTTTTGCCGCTTCCAAGCCATCTTGTTTCACTAATCCCAACTATGTCAATCTTTAATCTCTTCATTTCAGCTGCTACTTGGTGTACTTTTCCAGTTTGAAAGAGGGTTCTAACATTCCATGTTGCGATTCTGGTACGGTATTTGGGGGACAGGAGATTCAGTCTTTCGGACGTCATGCGCTGTCCCCTGCCAGAGTTGTCATCCCTTGGATTTACACGTCTCTTTCCGCTGGTTGCTCCGGCAGTTGGAGACTTTCTCTTTGAGGTTTTCGTAATCAGTTTGGATCCACCGATGGGTGATTGGCCCAAGGGCTTCGCGTGCACCCATTGGCCTCAGGGATTGTGGATGTACTCCACGTTACCCTGAGTTCACCCCTGCACCACGGTGAGGCACACTGACCCGGAGGACAGTGTGGGGACTGCGGCGATGCTGCTAGCTCCCTAGGTGCTCCGACTTCGCAGAGAAGTGCGGATGTGGGCTCTGACCACCATCTTCTACTGGCCATCTGCAAGATACGCCTCGCAGCATGTAAAAAGAAAGAACAGAAGATAACAAAGTACAACGTAGAAAGCCTGAAATCACCAGAAACAAAACAGGTTTTTAAGCTTACTTTGGCCAACCGCTTTGACATCCTACGATATAACTCAGACGAGGAAGAAGAAGAGGGGGGTGAAGGGATCGAAGCTGAATGGGCCATCATTAAGGAAGCCTACACAAGCACATGCGAGGAGGTTCTAGGAAGGGTAAAGAAAGAGAGGAAGGCATGGATGAGTCAGGACACATGGGAGAGAAGTGGAGGAAAGACGCAACCTGAAAGGAAAGATAGACAACAGTAGAACCAGAAACCAGAAGGCCACCGCTGTGAAGCTCTATAACAACGCAGACCGGAATGTAAAGAGAAGTTGCAGGAGAGACAAAAGGAAGTGGATCTCTGACATCGCCACTGAGGCAGAAGAGGCTGCTTCCAAACAAGACATGAAAACCCTGTACAGAATCACACAGACCCTTAGTGGTAGAAGGAGACAAATCAACAAACCGGTCCAAGACAAAGATGGTAAACTGCTTGTCGCTAAAGAAGAACAGATGGAACGCTGGAAAGAACACTTCGAAGACATCCTTAACAGACCACCTCCACTAGATCCACCAGAAATCGAACCACACGAGGAAGAACTACAGATCCGTACAGGCCCTCCAAGTAAAGCAGAAATACGCAAGGCCATAGCATCATTAAAGAATGGTAAAGCGGCAGGACCTGATTTCATACCCGCAGAGGCATGGAAAGAGGCAGGTGAACTGTCTGTCGAAGTGCTACACCCCCTCCTTAAGAGAATTTGGCAGGAAGAGAAGATTCCCCAAGACTGGCAAAAAGGTACCATCATCAAGTTACCAAAGAAAGGAGACCTAACAGATTGTAAGAACTGGCGGGGTATTATGCTCATCTCAGTTGCAAGCAAGATCTTGTGTAGAGTGATCCTTAATCGAACAGCAAATGCGATGGAATCCAGATTAAGAGACAACCAAGCTGGCTTCCGCCCAAACAGATCATGCAGTGACCAGATAGCAACCTTGAGGATAATAGTGGAACAGTCCATCGAGTTTAACTCGCAACTCTACGCTGTTTTCATTGACTATGAAAAAGCATTTGACTCTGTTGATAGGACCACACTATGGAAAATCCTTGCCCATTACGGAATCCCAGGAAAGATCATCAACATGGTCAAGGTCTTCTATGCCAACTTCCAAGCACAAGTGCTACATGAAGGAGATCTAACAGCGCCATTCAACATGACTACAGGAGTGAGACAGGGGTGTCTCCTGAGCCCACTACTCTTCATAACTGCACTTGACTGGATCATGGGGGAAACTACAAGAGAGGGAAGGACAGGGATACAGTGGACCTTACTGAACATGTTGGATGATCTTGACTTTGCTGATGACCTTGTCCTCCTGAGCCACAGCATTCACCAGATGAGGGATAAGACAAAGAAGCTGGAGCAGAACTCCAGTACAGTGGGACTTGGAGTTAATGCAAAGAAAACCAAGGAAATGCGAGTAAAAACAACTGGGAATGCCAAACCCGTATGCTGTAGGGGAGAGGAACTAGAAACAGTAAGGGAATTTACTTACCTTGGAAGCGTCATCACTAACGATGGAGGATCGAGCAAAGATGTGGATGCCCGTATCGGAAAGGCTAGAACTGCATTTGCCCAACTGAAGCCAGTTTGGAGATCTAAAAGCTTCTCGCTGAAAACCAAGCTTAGACTGTTCGAGTCCAACGTAAAATCTGTTCTGCTGTACGGATGTGACACATGGGGATTGACAAAACACAACATGAATAAGCTACAGGTGTTTGTAAATGCTAGACTCCGGTACCTTCTTGGGATCTGGTGGCCCAGAAAGATTAAGAATCAGGAACTGTTGGAAATAACAGGCCAGGAACCCATAGAAATTACGATTAGAAGAAGGAAGTGGCGTTGGATTGGTCACACACTACGAAAACCGCCAACGTCCATAACGAGAACAGCCCTAGACTGGAACCCACAGGGGAAACGTCACAGAGGCAGACCCCGCCTCTCCTGGAGAAGAGGCGTGAAGAAAGACCTGGAGAGAGCGAACACAACCTGGCAAGAAACCAAGAAGATAGCGACGAACCGGAGACGCTGGAGACTACTCACTGAGGCCCTATGCTCCCGAGTGGGCGAAGAGGACTAAGTCAACACCTGCACAGAGCATTTCCACCTGCACAGAGCATTTCTTGCTGATTGGCTGTTGGGATTTAACTTGATTAACACCTGCACAGAGCATTTCCATACTGACAGTATGTCTTTATTCAAGTGTTTTGGTAGGTATTTCAAGCTTTTCTGCTCCAGCATTGGAATGCGGGGCATGAACGTTTTTTATTTTATTTTGAAAATCAACAGTTTGCATTATGCAATTAAAAATCCTAACCAATAAAGTAGGGAATAGCTATCCAACTGTTGTTTTAGTTGTATGTTACTTCATATTATAGTTATATCAATGTAAATCATTGTTTTCCCTTGTGTTTCTCATTCTTTCCCTGCCATGTCGTAAAATGTGGTGAACCCATCGCTGTATTTGCTCCAAAGCAAATATTGGCCTTTCTAGTTTTAAAAAAATATTCTTGACATCATTAAAAATGGTCAAGAATATATAAAATTGTTTTCCACTAAATTCTTGAGCATTAATAAAAGTTTTTTTTAGTAAAAAGTACCAATCATGAAATGAAGACATTGTATATTAGGTTTTACTTGATCATATTTTTTCACACAACCTCTACAAAAATGTCTGACTCAAAATATTCGAATGGTATCTTGTTTTGATCGTTTAAGGTAACATTTGCAAAGTAAATGCATTATGTTACCTTCACATATGGTCTGCTCTGTCAATTCTTACTCAAACACATTCATACATATGGTCAGACAGGAGTCTAAATCCCTCCTGCTATAAAATTGCAACATGATGTAACCCAACACTAGTTACCATGGTAACAGACAGTCTGGTTCAGGTCATTGATCATTTTTTTTGAAGAAGAAGAAGAAGAGGAAATGTTGCAAAAAACAAGATGTTTTCCTTTCATTTGGTAAATATAAGGATCATCCACTCACATGTTGCAGAAAGCATTTGCCGACTTCACTGAGATGTGGAAGGTCTTGCCTACTGCTGTGCTCTAGGGTTTTCAGGAAGCCAGTTTGAAACTCGTATATCTGCTCTATGTTACCAAACACTGTCTTGATGGTTTCACAGGTGAACATCTCTGGTCTCTTTCTGCACTGCTTCACATAACCCTGAAAAAATTATGTTTTACGTTATTGTACAAAAAAAGGATCTCCTACATGTATGTATAATATTTGTAGAGGCATTTGCAGCATTTAGACAACCCTGAAAAAATAATCCATTTTTCAATACACTTTCCAAAATATTTTTACCCAACTTGTAACCATGTGTCATCATGAGGTGCAGTTCTTCGAGTGTTCACCCAGAAACCAAGAGGTTCTGGGTTTGAATCCTATCACCTATCATCACAATTTATGCTGATGATAACAGGCTAAATCTCTTTGGGTGGGCTTATAAAATATGATATAAGAATAATGGGATGAATCAAAATTTGATCAATACAAGACATTCAAATAATCATACCTGTATCTGTATCATTCTGTATAACAAGACAGTAGTATAGCCACACACCAGATTGGTAGGTACGCAACGCGGTGGCATCTATGTTACACTGAACTAATCTTTGTACATCTAATCATAGCACATCAGCAGAACGTACTGCGCCAGTGCAAAACCCTGATTTTTCGTAGTCTTTGTTGGATGTTTGGTCAACGTTGCATCAGAATTTTGGGTGTTGCAGATGACTTCTTTTCCAACAATAAATTTGAAAACTACAGATGGGATGTCAACCTTATGTATGCGAAAACGACCTTATATGAGACATTCTGCCGAAGTGCTATGCACAATACATTACGGGTTTTGCGCAGGTGCAGTACGTCTGCCGACATGCCTCTAACCACAAGTGTAACAAGGGCATAAACAACCAAAAGTTTACCTCAATGATGTCCCTGAGGTGTCCGATGTAGTCTCTCTCTGTGCTGAGTATCTCGTTAACCACGTTGCTCCTCATCTGGTCCTTGTTCTGACTGAAACTCACGCTGTACCTGCGCAGGTTCACACTGGTTCCCTGTCTCATCTTAGCTACATAGTCTTCAACTGTGTCCTCCTGGTTCACTCTCAACTGCATAGGGACAACAGTTCAAATACAGAATGTGAAGAACAAGAAATCCTTCCTTCAGGTTCATACAGCAATTTTGGTTTATGTAAACTCCATATTCACTCTATGTTTGTATGAAATTCAATATGAATTTTTGATGTCTTGGTGTTAATTATAACTTACATGCATGTGAACATCTACATTGTACATGTTTTGTAATTATGTCAGAAGGACATCAGCAGCACCTGGGTGGCCTTTGCATTGACGCTGCAATTAATTTGAATACAATAAATTATGGCATTAGTTAACCTTTATTTTGTATTGCTTACAAGTTAGGCAACAAGGAGATGTTTAAACTGGTAACATTTTATCTCTGATTATGGTTCTCAAAAATAAGTGTTTTCCTTCATTTTTCCTACATAAACTAATGGGACGGTTCAGAAAAATGGCCTTAATTATGATTGTCAAGAAATCAATAATATTACCCAAAAGTTATCTAAACAAAAAAAGGAGTCAGAGTGCACGTGTGTGGTACTTTGTACACAAAACAACCTGGGTATGCATTTCATAACAGGGCTCGAAATACCCGGTGGCGCACTGGCGCGGCGCCACCTGATTTTGCTTGGCGCCACTTATTCCTAAACTCAGGTGGCGCAGCGCGCCACCTATAATTTGCGGTAGGGACGTCACTGCTGCGACACCGCTCTTCCCCAGCTGCTACATGTAACATCATCCTTGCGCAAACGAAGAACATGGCGCACGTAATACCCGCATAAGTGTGCCGCAGTAGCAGCTGAGCCTGAAGACATGTAAAGGTGGCAGCAGGGTTGGACAAGTTAAATTGCCCGATTGCCCCGGGCAAGTAAAAGTGCTAATCGGGCAAGCACATCTCCCTCTGGGCTTGCCCGATCGGGAAAGTTAAATTTTTGTGACACCCCAGTATAGCGGCAAAATTGCTGATTTATTCTCGCAAAAGTACCAATTAATTCCAGTCAAAATCATGTCCATTTGTAAATAAACCCATTAAAAGTCCCTAGATACCATTACCTTGACAGATTAATCGGTAAATAGCTTTATTTTCTACGAAACACCCGGGGCCCAGCGTCTCGCCTCGTCTAATTTTGGGTAAAGGGATCATTTATCTTGTCCCGAGTATGTAAATTAGACTCCTTAAACAGCAAGGTATGCAAATATCATGCAGATATATAATAATGCAGGAGAAACTAGAAAAAAGAAGGAGAAATCGGGAGAATACAAGAGAAAGAAGGAGAAAGCAAGAAAAAGGTGGAGAATATAGGAGAAAGCGGAAAAATACAGGAGAAAGCTGGAGAATACAGGAGAAAGCAAAGGAATACAGGAGAAAGCAGGAGAATATAGGAGAAAGCAGGAAAAAGCAGGAGAACACAGGAAAAAGCGGTAGAATACAGGAGAAAGCGGTAGAATACAGGAGAACAAGGAGAAAGCAGGAGAACACAGGAGAAAGCAGGAGAATACAGGAGAAACCAGGAAAACACAGGAGAAAGTAGGAGAACACAGGAGAAAGCAGGAGAATACAGGAAGAAAGCAGGAGAACACAGGAGAAAGCAGGAGAATATAGGAGAAAGCAGGAGAACACAGGAGAAACCAGGAGAACACAGGAGAAAGCAGGAGAATACAGGAGAAACCAGGAGAACACAGGAAAAACCAGGAGAATATACGAGAAAGCATGAGAACACAGGAGAAAGCAGGAGAATACAGGAGAAAGCAGGAGAACACAGGAGAAACCAGGAGAACACAGGAGAAAGCAGGAGAATACAGGAGAAACCAGGAGAACACAGGAGAAAGCGGTAGAACACAGGAGAAAGCAGGAGAATACAGGAGAAACCAGGAGAACACAGGAGAAACCAGGAGAACACAGGAGAAAGCAGGAGAATACAGGAGAAAGCAGGAGAAACCAGGAGAATACAGGAGAAACCAGGAGAACACAGGAGAAAGCAGGAGAATACAGGAGAAAGCAGGAGAAACCAGGAGAATACAGGAGAAACCATGAGAACACAGGAGAAAGCAGGAGAACACATGAGAAAGCAGGAGAACACAGGAGAAAGCAGGAGAATATAGAAGAAAGCAGGAGAACACAGGAGAAAGCAGGAGAATATAGGAGAAAGCAGGAGAACACAGGAGAAACCAGGAGAAACCAGGAGAAACCAGGAGAAACCAGGAGAAACCAGGAGAACACAGGAGAAACCAGGGAGAAACACAGGAGAAAGCAGGAGAACACAGGAGAAAGCCAGGAGAATACAGGAGAAACCTCCTGCTTTCTCCTGTATTCTCCTGCTTTCTGTGTGTTCTCCTACTTTCTCCTGTGTTCTCCTGCTTTCCCTTGGTTTCTCCTGTATTCTCCTGCTTTCCCCTGGTTTCTCCTGCGTTCCACTGCTTTCTCCTGTATTCTCCTGTGTTCTCCTGCTTTTCTCCTGTATTCTCCTGCTTTTTCCTGCTTTCTCCTGTATTCTCCTGCTTTCTCCTGGTTTCTCCTGTATTCCCCTGCTTTCCCCTGGTTTCTCCTGCGTTCCACTGCTTTCTCCTGTTTTCTCCTGTGTTCTCCTGCTTTCTCCTGGTTCTCCTGTTTTCTCCTGCTTTTTCCTGTGTTCTCCTGCTTTCTCCAGGTTTCTCCTGTATTCTCCTGCTTTCTCCTGGTTTCTCCTGCGTTCCACTGCTTTCTCCTGTATTCTCCTGTGTTCTCCTGCTTTCTCCTGTATTCTCATGCTTTCTCCTACTTTCTCCTGTATTCTCCTGGTTTTTCCTGTGTTCTCCTGTATTCTCCTGCTTTCTCCTGTGTTCTCCTGGTTTCTCCTGTGTTCTCCTGGTTTCTCCTGTGTTCTCCTGCTTTCTCCTGTGTTCTCCTACTTTCTCCTGTGTTCTCCTACTTTCTCCTGTGTTCTCCTGCTTTCCCTTGGTTTCTCCTGTATTCT